AGACAATGATTGTGATGGTAAATTATCTGCTAAAGATTTGCAGGCTATTTCAAAGAATTATGGATTAAAGTAAGTTCAACCTACCCCCATGTCACTACCATTGGTTTATTTCTTATTCCTCTTATCAATCTATGCATAGATTGTCTCCAGAGGATATTGATGGTATGATCACTGAAGCCAATAGAGATGGAACTGGTTTAATAACATTACAAGAATTTATTGAAGTTATGCAAAGAACAGCAATATTCAATTAGAGCTAAAGTTATTAAGCAAAAGTCACTAGATCAATATAAAATCATTTTTTAATTAATAATTTGTTGTGAGAATTAAGAACAATTGTGATCGATGTCAATTGGCGAGAACCTAGAAGGCTTGGATCTACTTTAATGACTCCTTGTACATGATAAAACCCAGAATACCCATGATGCCGAAGTTTGAAAATATCAACTTCAGTTTTTTGATATGAATCTATCGATACCTCTTCCATTATAGTATCGTCTTTAGGATTTTGGGTGTATATTTTTGGATACCCAATTTCATGGATTTTATCAAACTTTCCCTCATGAAAAGCAAGACATATGTTACGATCTGAATCAAAAGCTGCTGACATGTGATGACCACCAACCTCAGTATAAAAGTGAACAGGATCACTACGTCTGTTAACTGTAACTGGTAAAATAGGATATGTATCACAGTTGATGACACCAAGAAAACTAGCCATTCGAGCAGCCATTTTTACTTTGTCGTTTTTTATTTTCTTCATTTCTTCTTTTATTTGTTCATTTTCTTTCTTCAATTGTCCACAAGCTACAGCTAATAGTGTCATGTGTTTAGTATCAGCAGTGTGTACATGTACATCTTTACGTAATGGCTTATCATTACAACCAGCCCAACTAAACACACAATCTACTGGCTCTAATGGACATCTTGTTAAATGAGCAGGAACACTATCTCGTGGCATAATGGAACTTGCACAACTATTGGGGCATTTAGTAGGATACTTTGGACAGGCTTTTAAATGGTCTCCAGTAATAAAAATAAAGCTATGTGATGTAAAACAGTACTCACACCTGTATGTTCGTTGGTTGCAGTTATCCTTTTCGTGATCAATAAGACTTTGACGCTGATCTTTTGTTTGGCATTTATCATATCGACACTTGACCTCTTCAAATTGACAGTCTCCATATCTCTTCCCTTTTTTAAGATGAGTAGATAAGTCCTTCAAATTTCCTTTCCATTGACATCCCTTAGGTTTGTTTGTGCAATAGACTTGTAACCCATTAATGATACGAGATAAATTCTTATCTATGAAGGAGTCGTACCCCAACTCTTTGCACATTGGGCAGGCACGGTTTCTTCTTCCCATCCATTTTCCAAGCACCCCCTCTTTCCCAATGCAAGACTCACAAAAATTTTTACCACAGCAGCTCACTTGACGAGGATTTGTCAAGATATTAAGACAAATTGGACACTCTATCTCAATTTGTTTAGGTACTTCTTCAACAAATGAAAGCTCATCTTTTGAGAATTTTTCCATGTTCATGATAACAAGGCTGAGTCTGCTCAGTACAGCCTTAGCTCGCGTCTATCTATAAAAAGGTCGTATCCAAGCTGTATCTAAGTATCTATTCTTTACTATTCATGAGAAATGACATATAAATATCCCCAGTCCTGATTCCTGAAGTCCTTGTTCATGAATACTTGCAGTGTTGCAGCCCCACCCTTGAATAGAAGCACTGAATTTATTGCAGTAACATTTATCATCAATCATTCATTAAATTGGCAGTTTATTACTAAAGTATTATATAGGTTTTAAAGTGACTAGGAGATGACTACAGGAGCTAATAATGATAATAAGACAAGCAGAGATAGGGAAGGAAGGAATGATAACATACACTAAGCAGCTAGTAGATCTATGTGGATCACAGGGAGCCACTTATAGTTATGGAGAAATTAAACAAGTCAAGGGTTATTGTTTGTTTGCAATCACTAATGGGGCTATTCTTGTTAGGCTTTTCAGTTTTTAGACAATGATTATGATGATAAATTATCTGCTATAGATTTACAAGCTATTTCAAAGAATTATGGATTAAAGTTACTTTCAATAGTATAGGCTATTACTGTTCTACTGTTTAGTTCACATCCCTCTGATATTTTATAAGTAGATTGTCTCCAGAGGATATTGATGGTATGATCACTGAAGCCAATAGAGATGGAACTGGTTTAATAACATTACAAGAATTTATTGAAGTTATGCAAAGAACACCATTATTTAATTAGTAATTAATTGAGCTAAAACTGTTCACATTATTGGTACTCTCTAGAAAATAAACACACATTGAGGGGCCATG